AAAAAAAAATATGAAGATTAAAAGTGACGTTAAGAAAAACATTATAAATTGATTTAATTCAAAATTAGAAAGCAAACTTACTACCCGGTACCGATATAGCGGCCACTAGGGGGTAGACACGAAATAACACTAGAAGAAAACTAGCAAAAATTGAGCATACTAGAAGTTACTAGAAGAATATTTGTGAAAAGAATTGAGTGATCTCTCTTCCATAAGAATAGCATTGGCAGTGGTTTTTATATGAACAAATTCTTCCATTCAAAATATACTGCCAATGCTTTGCTTATGGAGTTCAAATGTTTCGTTTACAAAAAGTACCGTTAATCCTTCTTTAAGAAATGCATTGGCAATACTATACTTGTGGAAGAATCAATGGTAGATACTAGAAATACTAGCAGAATATTTGCGTTTCTGCTTGTATACTAGAAAAACTAGAAGAAACTAAACGCATATTTGAACTGATTTGAACAAACTAGCTATGCTAGAAATTGGTGTCTAACTAGAAATTGAGACTAGGTACCTTTGGATCATGGATAAAACCAAGGAATGACGTAATTGGGAGGAACATTGCGCGACCACCTGCCGTGTAATTCATGCCCACGATTTTGCCGTTTGTTTTCGAAACTACTGGTCCACCCGAATCGCCAGGTTATCTCTGATGCTTTTTTGTACATCGTACGGTTTATACTTGAGCATCGTCTCAATACCCACTACACTTTCGGTCTCCGTAAACGTTTCATTCGATTGATTGATCACATAATTTTCAATAAATTGTGGCTCGCATCCCGAAGAGAAACTATTTCTATTCTTTTCTTCTTTTTCAGCAATCAAATTGTCAAATTTCTGCTGTTGATTTGAAATTTTCTTTTCAAGTTTCACTGATAAACGTTCTTTACAATCATTTACGTATTGAGACCATTGAAAATACATCGCACCATTCATATGTCTTACAATTTTCAGGTGAAGTGCATACAAAGTTCGTTCATTAAATGCTAATTTACGAAAACAATGACGAATTTCATTCCGCAAATATTTTGCCTTTGCCGTCGTCACCGCATTGCCCGCTCTTTCGTTCTTCACACGGCACAATATCGAATCCACAAATTATTATTTAATTAATAAACATACGCGAAAAGAGCACAAAATCTTGATACGACTCTATACAAACAGAATAACGGGACATTAAGTGAAAATAAACGCGAAGTGTTTTGTTATGTACCTGGTGTTATGAGTAGAATTAAGAATCGTTCAGGGGAACACAATATAACCCCGGTTTATCAAAATATTCACAAAATGAAAAGTCGTTTCGCGTCGACAAAAGATAAAATTAGTGACAATTTGAATTCGGGTATTTATGCGATCGAATGTGGTGTGTGCAAGCGCCGCTATATTGGGCAAACAAAAAGAAGCATAGCAGTTCGATACAAAGAACATTGTAACTGTGCAAAGAAGAAGAAAATGAGAGAGTCTGCGTTTGCTAAACATGTAGTGGAGAGTGAACATGGAATCGATGAAAGTGACCATAGCATCCATAGCATCGAACCGATTAAGAATTTCAATAGACAGAGCAGACTCGATGCGTATGAAAGTTATTACATCGAGAAAGAGATGGTTGATGGCACCATTGAATGCGGGAAGCGGGAACATACAGTCCTGCTTATTTGCATTGATTTGATGCGGCGAATGTTTTGTTGTTGCTGATCCAGCTGTTTTGCTTTGTGTTGGTGTGTTGTCGTTTTTTTGTCTCGCAAATCACCGGCAAAAATCGAGATTCGTGTCAGTGCTGATGATGAACGAGCGTTTCGAAATGCGCATTCACTTTAAGTAAGCACAATTGTGTATCTTTTGTGCTGCAATAACAAAAACAATAAGGTGATTCTCAACGAAATTTCGATTTTGTTTTTACAAATTATAAGTGTTTTTGCTTTTGCGTGTTCAGTTAAAATGTCATTTGTGATAAAAATTGTTGATGCCATGTTCTCTTTTTCGACTTTGATTTTGATTTTTTGATTTTCGTCTGATGCAACTTCCGAACCAGCTACTATATAGGCATATAGAGACATCACAATGGGCATTCGTGATAATTTCCGTTTTTGACAAAACAATTGCGGTACATACAATCACCGTTTCTCTATCAGCATCAGTTAAATTGTCTTTATATGCATACAAATATTCTGTAATGAAATCGTTTCGTTCCTGGAAGTAGAAATTTCGTGTTTACTTTCAGTTCTACAGAAATATCGCATTTTGTTGAATGAAAGAGAAAATGACAAAATAATAGAAAAAACTAACAGAAAATTCAAAGATAAATAGCACCAAAAACAAACCACTCAATAGATTCATTTTAATTTGCCAACGAAAAAAGTTTTAACCTATTGCATAATGATAGTAGAGAATTGACTTGAACTTCTTCAGCAGATCCTTTGAATTCGTTTGGTCTTCCCTATGCGGTGCTGCCTCCTTTATACCATTCATCTATCAATGGCTGACACATTAACTGCTGCGACGAATAATTGTTGAAGTGTATTATTTTACACTTATGGCATTTATGAATTGAGGTCTTGACTAGATTAGTAGCTACTAATACTATGCAACAAATTTTGGAAAAGAAACTTCCCCCAAAAAGAGGAGACTCATTTCCAAGGTTTTTGTGCCCACTTAATCCCAATCTGATGAGGAAACCGCAATAAGTGTATCTCGAAAACTAGACGTGCCAGATTCGGATAAAGTGGCCCAAAAACCTTGGAAATAAGTTCTATTCTTTGTGGTTGTTTCATAGTGTAATCATGTTCAAACATTCAATGAAGCTCAATAACAAAATTGCTTTGATGGATACGTGTAGCTGATACAATATGTGGAAATTGATAGCAAAAAAATGGAAAACGTTCGAAAACATTTTAAATTCAGATGTAACTGGTTCGTAAATTGGTTACTTTCGGCTGTTGCCGATTGTTTTAGCACACACTCATTGTTTTTTGTGTACACTTTTGTTCTCCAAAACCGAGCCATCATTTCACCAGTTCCGTAGAACCTATTCACTGGGATACCCAAAACTCATGCTATCTCGCTCACACTTACGTGCAATTTTTACGTGCATTGCAAGCCGTAATATATATCGCAATTACTTCAGATAATCACGTAACTGCGCATGGGCGAATGAAAACTAAAATGCATTTTTCTCAAATGTTCAAATTTATTCGGTTCTTTTGTTGAACATCAAATGACAGGAACAACAAAAGGGACGGTATTCAGCTTTTTCAGGCGCCTGAAACCCCTTTTTCAAGCCTATATTCTTCTTCTTTTATTACGTTCCACCTTTGGCTTCCGGATCCAATCGAGCAACGGTGCAATCGGTTGAAAAATAACTGGCTTACCATGCGAACGAAATATGGTGATGCCCACGAGTTTGTTATTCTTTTTCGAAACCATTGGTCCTCCTAACGAACAGGGAGTTCCCATGCTTTCATCTAAAGTGTAACACATCAAATGATTTGCATCAAATAGATCGCCCAATTTCGATTTGCAAATGGCGCCATTCAAATACTTTATATCAAAACGTCTCGTTCTCATTGTTCCTTCCAATGTCATATCACCATAGACAGAGACTTTTTCAGACGGGTCATTCAATTTGTAATCTTTGTCCACCAAATCGATGCTGCCGACGTTCTCGTTGAACTCCAACGGTTCTTTAAGTGTAATCTTGGCAACGTCAAATGTGAATCCGAACACTGCGTATTTCTCATGAATTTCTATTTGGTCTTCAGTGACTTTGATTTTTGTAGGATTGCTTGATAGTTTATTTACTATTACATAGAGATATGGGGCGCCGTGCACATTATGTGCACAGGTCAAAATCTCGGTTTCCGACAAAATGATTGCATTAGATTGTATTTGATCATCTTCGTCGGCATTGGCATATGTTTCCTTGGTAGCGGTGAGAAATTCTGTAATAGAAAAAGATCTCAGGATGAGTATTGGTTTATAAGCCATGGAAAATCTCCTTTTTCGCCGTCGAAAAAAAAATGAAGATTAAAAGTGACTTTGAAAACCAGATAATTATTCGATTTAATTCAAATTTCGAATGCACACTTACTCCCCTGTACCACTATATCGGCTAAGAATTTAGCTTCGTTGGGTGTGAGCGAAGGTGGAAGTGGTTTCACGCTCTGAAATAAAAGCAAAAATACATTTTGTTCGCGTTATTGAAATGCAAATTGGGGCATTGAGATTAGATACCTTTGGATCATGGATAAAACCAAGGAATGATGCAATTGGGAGGAACATTCCGCGGCCTCCTGTTGTTCCATTTACACTCGTAGTTATGCCCACGATTTTGCCATTTGTTTTTGAAACGACTGGTCCACCCGAATCGCCAGGTGTAAGAATTTCGCCATCGGTCGTAGCTTCGCCAGTGGTAAAGTACAAAGTCTGAACTGGGTCGAATGTGTCGGCCCGTTCGACATCGGGTATATAGTTCGCATCGCAACGCCTCAATACCATTGGTAGATTCAACACGCCATACCCATAGACAGTGACCACTTCTGATGTGTTATTCAATTTGTAATCCTTGTCCACGAGTTTGATACTGCCAACGGTATCGCTGAATTCTAACGGCGTTTTCAGTGTAATTTTGGCAATATCAAATGCACCAACAATTAAATGACTATAATGAGGGTGCCATGCAATGTTCTCTTTTTCGACTTTGATTAGGTTTTTTTCCAATGCAACTTTCGTACCAGTTACCACATAAACATATGGAGCGCCAGCCACACAATGAGCATTCGTGATAATTTCCGTTTTTGACAAAATAAATGCGGTACATGTAGACAGCATTGCTCTATCAGCATCAGTTGACTTGTCTTTGAATGCATACAAATATTCTGTAATAAAATCGTTTCGTCTCAGTACAAGCAAAAATGAACACACACAAAATTGATAGAATATTTGAATAGAAAATTCACACGAAAAAAATAATAAAAATGATTCTAAAGCTGACTTACTTGTAGGGGCATAGATTCCAGCTACAAACTTTGCCTGTGACATATTTTCAATTACTTCGCCCTTGAGAAGAGCTTGCGAGAAAAAGCCATCTGTTCATTTGTTCATTAGAAAAAAAAGGTTGAAATTCCGAATTGAAAACTCTTTTGGAATAATAAAAAGCGTGTTCGAAAACCAAAAATGTCTTACGTTTTCCTTGAAGTTCCTAGAAACAGAAATTTCGTGTTCACTTTCAATTCTACAGAAACATCGCATTTTGTTGGATAAAAATGAAAATGATAAAGGAATAGAAAAAACTTACCGAAAATTCAACGATAAATAGCACCAAAAACAAACCGTGTAGTAGATTCATTTTAATTTGCCAACGAAACATAGTTTTAACCTGTTGCACAATGATAATTTGAGGAGAGATACTTTTGGTCTTCCCTATGCGGTGGCGCCTCTTTTATACCATTCATCTACCAATAGCTGACACGTGCACTGCAACGTATAATTGATGAATTGTGGTATTTTTCAGTTATGGAATTTACGAATTGAGGTCTACTAACACTATGCAACAAATTTCAAAGAAAAATTTCCCCCAAAAAGCGGTGACTCATTTCTAAGATTTTTTGGCCCACCTAATCCAAATCTGATACGGAAAGCAATGAACGT